GCTTCATTTTGCTCAGCTGTGCTGTCTATGTCGGTGCCATCCTGTGAGATTGGCTCATTATCTTTCGTCAGTTCTTGCGGCAGCGCTTCATCAACGGGTAGCTTCTCACTCGTCACATCTGTCATTGTTTCTGGCACTGCGGATTCATCATCTCCAACAACAGACGATGTATCTGGTGAAGTTGGTTCTGATTCGTTGATTGTCGTCTCAGCAGCAGCAGCAGTAATGCCCGTCTGCGAAGGATATGGGTTCCAATCAGGCAGTGTGGCGCTAACTAGAGGTGCTTGGAGAGAGGCAGCGACTGACCCGGCCTCCTCATCCAAACGTGTTGGAGCGCCTGGAGCGCCCAGAGACAAGTCGTCTTTCAACGAGTCATCTGGCTCCAAATTCGCCGGTGTCTCGGGTACATCGTCAAGCATTGCTACCTGTTCGGTGTTTTCATGTTCTCCTTCAGAGCCAGGTGTCTCTTCCATAATATGGTCGTTCAAAGAAGGCATTGAGTCATCGTCATCATCATCACGGATATCCTCCAAAGTCGCATCCTCTAAAGAGGCGTCAGATTCCGCTAGGGTTGCTTGCTCCTGGTCTTCTTCTTCTTCCTCCTCCTCCTCATCGTCATCGCTCGAATCCAGTATGAGCAAGCTTGGTTCAGTTGGAGATTTCTTCATGATCTCCTTGACATCCTGCAAGATGGCACGAGGCGGGATGGAGAAGGCACTCCCGGCGATACCGTCATCGTCACCGTTATCAATGATTGTTTCTGGAGGGGGGGTATCAATATCATTCAGCAGGGTGTTGTCGTCTTTCAAACTTTCGTCGTGTATCACATGCTGCTCCATGGCGCCACTGTTGTTGATATCGTTCGGATTAGCGACATCGTTCAGAAGTTGGTCTTGCATCATCATGTCCGCGCTACCAGCAAGAGCTGACAAGTGTTTGGCAACTGCATCGTCAAAGGCAACAGGCTTCTTGACTCCCGTAGCAGCGGCGGCAGCGATAAAGGAAATGCGAGGAGTAAACGAAGGAGTTTCATTCTGTAGCCCCGGGGAGAATTCCTTGGCAAGCACCTCGGCCTCAACCACTTCCAGGCTTTCGTGCATTCCTTCCGCATCTACAATTTCGTCTGCTTGACCAGCCTCTTCCATTTGCACAGCAACCGAAGCGTCATCTTGTGGCGGTGGTTCCAAGACAGAAGTATGGTCTTGCATCTCCTTTGCTATATTCTCAGCTTCACGCTCAACCTGCACATCCTCAACTACGCCATCTCTAGTTTCCTCTACCCCGTTGGCATTTAGCAAAGGTCCTTCATCTTGGACAAGATTCTCCTCTTCAACAGTGTCTTGAGTTGCATCTGCCACTATGGGATCTGTCTGCTCTGCAACCTGTTCAACCTCCCATTCAGCAGGGGCAACATCATCCAACTCATCAAGGCTGTCCATCTCATCTGTGACAACTGTTGTGCCCCTCTCCAGTTCTGCCAAGACAATGGGCTGTTCCTCCTGGTGCATCACATCTGCAGCTTGTTCCTCAATTTCTTCTGTCACAGGAGTTTCTGCCTCCTCCTCTTGTGCCACAACAGGCACCACTTGTTCCTCCTCCTCTGCCTTGTTTATTGATTCCTCCTCTTGCTCTGCCACAGTTGCTTCTTGTTCCTCATCTTCTTGTTCCACCACTGTGCTTGCTTGTTCCTCCTCTCCCTGCTGCAAGGCTGCCCCCTCCTCTTGTTCTGTCAGTGATGTTTCATCTTCTGCCACAACTTGAGTTGCATCTGCCACTATGGGATCTGTCTGCTCTGCAACCTCTTCAACCCCCCCTTCAGCAGGGGCAACATTGTCTGACTCATCAAGGTTGTCCATCTCATTTGTGGCAACTGTGGGGTCCCTCTCTGGTTCTGACATTACAATGGGCTGTTCCTCCTGGTGTGTCACATCTGCAGCTTGTTCCTCAATTTCTTCTGTCACAGGAGTTTCTGCCTCCTCCTCTTGTGCCACAACAGGCACCACTTGTTCCTCCTCCTCTGCCTCATTTATTGATTCCTCCTCTTGCTCTGGCACAGTTGCTTCTTGTTCCTCATCTTCTTGTTCTGCCACTGTGGTTCCTTGTTCCTCATCTCCCTGTTGCAATGCTGCATCCTCCTCTTGTTCTGTCAGTGAAGTTTCATCTTCTGCCACAACTTGAGTTGCATCTGCCACTATGGGATCTGTCTGCTCTGCAACCTCTTCAACCTCCCCTTCAGCAGGGCCAACATCATTCAACTCATCAAGGCTGCCCATCTCACCTGTGGCAACTTTGGAGTCCCTCTCCAGTTCTGCCATTACAATGGGCTGTTCCTCCTGGTGTACCACAACTGATGCTTGTTCCTCAATTTCTTCTGTCACAGGAGTTTCCACCTCCTCCTCTTGTGCCAAAACAGGAGCCACTTGTTCCTCCTCCTCTGCCTCATTTATTGATTCCTCCTCTTGCTCTGGCGCAGCAGCTTGTTCCTCCGCTTGTGCCACAACATGCACCACTTGTTCCTCCTCTGCTGTGTTTATTGATTCCTCCTCTTGCTCTGGCACAGCTGCTTGTTCCTCATCTTCTTGTTCCTCCTCTTGTGCCGCAACAGGCACCACTTGTTCCTCCTCTGCCTCATTTATCGTCTCATCCACTTGCGCTGCCACGGTTAATTGTACCTCCTCTTGCACCACAACAGGCACCACTTGTTCCTCCTCCTCCTGTGTCTTATTTATCGTCTCCTCCTCTTGCTCTGGCACATTTGCTTGTTCCTCATCTTCTTTTTCTACTACTGCAGTTGCTTGTTCCTTGTTTCCTTGTTGCAATGCTGCATCCTCCTCTAGATCTGTCATTGATGTTTTATTTTCTGCTGCAAGAGTGTTGGGTTCCTCATCTGCTAGTGCCTCCTCCTGACGAGTGACTGCTGCTGCTGTGTGTTGGTCACGACCACTCTTGTAGCTATCCATTGTAGTGCTACCAGTAGCTGGTGTCGTGGTGGTGGTTTCTTCTCCGGCTTCATCCAAAAGTTCCTCTAGCAATGCCATGACGTCATTGTCTTCCTCCTCAAGTGATTCCTTCAATAGTTCAAGTACTTCCGCCATGGCTGGATCATCCAGCTCTTTCTTCTTTTTCGCGCGTTCCTTCTTCTTCTTCTTCTTTTTGCCAGCAAAAATATCATCGTAAATGGATTCATAGGATGATGATGCATCCGTGCGAGACGGCAAGAAGGAGGAGAAAAACGAGCCAATGCCTCCACCATCACCACCATTTTTGGATCTTTCTTCATGCTGCTGGACAATTCTGGCGGATGCCCTATTTCTTCGTCTTTTGGATCTTCCACTACTAGTTTGGGGCTTTGCAGTAATTGTTGTGGGGGTTTGAGCCACAGGTTCCGTATGTATGCTCTCTTTTGTTTCCCCCACGTCTTCCAAGTTTTGCAGTGTAGTCAAAGGGGTAGGCTCCGCTTCTTTTTCTGCCATTATTGGATCTTTTTTCATTTCTTCTTCCAAGCTGTTCGCAGCCACTGGAGATATCACAGTTTCCTCCTGGACTGTCAACTCCGTTACCCCCTTGATGAAGGACGATCTCCTTATGGGCGGATGTTCAGGAGGTTTGGGTGTTTTTGGTGCAGGCTTTTTTGCAAAGAAAAATGGTACTGGAGGGTCCGTCTTGTCTTGATCAGCCGTAGAACTGACAATCGTCCTTGGTCTTGTTTTTTGTTTTCTCCACGGTTGAGGGAACTGGAAGAACCCACCCACGCCGGACAGAGGGACATGCCGTGATGACGATGATGATGGAACCACAAAGGCGCTGTACCATGGCTTGCCTACACCCGATCCATCTGCCAAGCTGCTCCAACCGACTGTCCCCACTAATACATGTACGAGCAGCCTCTTCATGGTCGATCAATAAATTACTCCTCGACTCGACTCGACTCGCCTTGGATTTCAAATGAATCGAATCGAATCACCTTGGATCCAAATCGCCACTGCCTTTCGCCAACGGATAGAAAGATGTCTCTTGCAAACAACAAGTTTCCTCTGTGGATGCCTTCAAACTGATCTGCCTTGATTGATGAATAATTGTTGAAACAAAGGATATTACCGGCTCAATCCTATCATTTTGAAGCACAAAGGCAAAACAAAAGAAGTTGTCCAACGTAGACCTCATTCGGCGAGAATCGAACACTCTTTGAAGCAATGACGCATGTGAGGGGCAGGTGTGCGACTGAGTATTCGAATAATTCTTATTAATAATAAAATCGACTCGACTCGATTCGATGTAACTCTCATATCTCATAGGTACCAACCGATTGTCATCCAAGCCGACTGGCCAGCAGGAAGGACTGTCACTCGACTCGACTCATCAGAGATGGAGGAGATGGGTGTCTGTCGGCTACCGACGGTAGATAGATGGTTGCGTTCGTTGACATATGCACTCTGGACACCAGGCAATAGCAAGGACAGATCCAGGTTGAGGCAGGCGGCCCAAAGAGCAAACCCGCTTGGTGTGGCTGGGACTGAAGAAGGTAGATACTGACATTGTAGTCTTTGGCTTCTGGTCTGATCACTGGCCAGAGGGAGATTGCTACTGTACCTTCTAGCTAAAGAGAAAAGAACATTGAGTTATGGCAAAGACGAAGAGCTTTGGATGACTACTAGCTAGTACTGTACTAGCTGGCAGACAATCAGAACAACTAGCTTAGAATATTCTTTAAAAATCTTTCTGTTGAAGAAGAAGGGCTTCTGGCCTCCAACCAGAACCTGCATCTCTTGTTGTGGCCACCACTCGGTATCGAACTAGCTATTAATCGGTAGCCACAATGCTGTTCGCAATCGTTGAGCTAAAAGAACCAAACATTCTGAAATAAGTATCTGTGCAACCACCGAACTTCAACTGTGGCCATTACTGCCTGCTTCTATGGCTGGAATCCTGGTCCCAAAGCATGCAGGTTGAGCGCCAGAACCAAGATCCAGGAAAAGAGGGAAACCGGAATGCATCATCATCTGTTAACTACTGAGTAATAATTGTGGCCACTTGCTGGTTTTGTGGTTCTAGCGTTCTAGCATGGCAGCTGCCTCCGACGACCAGAAACCAGAACTGCCGCACCTCCATCTTGCATCATCCTTTAGTCTAGTATCATCAGGATCGTTGATTTGGCCATTATTGCCCTCAACTACCAGCTAGCAAGCTGAGGGCCTTTTGAAGTTATCTGTGTGTGTGTGTGTGTGTGTGTGTGTGTGTGTCGCGTACATATGGTGCGTTTCCTTGCAAGGTTAAGGCTACAGGCACCACCGCGTACATATGGTGCGATTTTCCTTGTAAGGTTAAGGCTTCCATGTACTGGCACGTACATATATATGGTGCGGTTTCCCTTGCAAGGTTAAGGCTACCAGGTACCGTGCTCTTCTTTTTAACCCTTCCTTGCTTCCTTCTACTAGCCTTGGCCTTTTGAAAAATGCAAGTTGAGGGCACTAGCCTCCGGCTGGCTGTCCTTGTGGCTCTGTGGTCGTCTCAATAGGTTCCCAATGTTCCCATAATCTCTAATCTCTAATCTCAATCCACAAAGCTACTGTATCCACAATCCACCCAATACTTGAGAACCCAAAGAAGCCATCGCACTTCTTCGGAAGCAAGTAGACTCCATAAGTCATTTGAAAGATAGTTTCCTGTGCACTGTGCACTTCGACTTTCCACGCGGGATCGTAGTTCTGGATGCCACCAGCAACGAAAGCATGCTACTAAGTAGTACCTTCGTACCTTCTACTCTGTAGCAGCATCACTGCACTAGTATTGTGACATTGTGAACTCATTGTGACAGTGTGACAGTGTGCCCCATTCTATTCATACAGGTACAGTGTATGTTATGTCACTGTGTCACTGTGCCATTGACAAGACTAAGTAAGTCTTAGTAGGTTTTCCAAACCTCAAAACTTATTACGGCAATGGGTGGGGAAATGTCAATAATAATTGATAATTGTCTTTTATCTCCTACTCAAAGGAGTAGTTTCATACAGAAGGATTCGATTCGATGCTATCCCCATACCGGTAGCTTCATCACGTTATACTGGTACTAGTACATGGTAGTACTACGGCAGTACCGGTAGGGCAATCTGAGTAGGGCTGACGTACAGTACCGTACAGTACTGTACGTGTACCTGCTTCTCGAACTGCCTTCTGCAGCTCTTCTGCCTTGGTTTCCACTTTCCAGAAGGGGCAAAAGTCAAAAAAGTCTCAAGTAAGTCACAGAAATTTCCGGAACATTGGCAATCATTCAATTGCCACATAGTCTTGCTGGAACCACGGGCGCTTGCGTCTTGCAATTGACCATGGAATTAGAGCAGCTCCTGTACTGTAGCATAGCTGGACTTCGACACTCCAATCCGAATACGGTACCGTAGACTGGTCGACTGGTCTACTCGAGTACTCATCCCTTCATACTGCTACTTCGTACTTTGTTTGGTGGTCATATTATTTAGTTTTCGGTGGCTAAAAAGGCGATCCAAAGATCAGAGGCTCTGTTTCTCTGTTTCTCTTTTGCTTCCCTCTGTTTCTCGTGGTCTCTCCTTTTCATTTGCTTGGCTAGCAAGGCCGCTCATTATTTTCTGCTCCGGGGCAATCTGCTTGCCACAAAAAACAGCTTCTCTTGTTAAAAATCACGGTGTCACTTTCTCTCTCTGACCACCATCGTTGCTTTGGCTTCGATAATCAGCAAAGAATACTAACGTGTCGTCGATTGCTTTCCCAACGCTACGCAACGCAACGCAACCCTTCCTCATCCACTACGGTACCAGGTACCGATACATTCTTGCGACGACAATGATCACGATACGCCTCCAACGTTTGCACCTCTTTCTTCTTGCCTCCGCCGTCCTCCTACTAATCGCCGGGATAGCCGCCCAGCAGGAAGCCTCCTCAGGATGCGTCTCTGCCATGATCCAACCGTATGATCCCGTCCGCCACGAGCCCCATTACACAATTGGCGTCTTGGCCAACCGCGGTGATGCCACTGCCTTGAAGGAATGGAACATGACCTTTGGGGAATATCTCACCGAGACTGCAGGACGTCGGTTCAACCCCCCCATTCGTTTCTCCATGCGTCCCTTGTCCTTTGGCCATATCTTTGAAGAACACCAACAAGTCGACTTTATCCACGTCAACCCGGCTGCCTACTCGTGTATTGCGGCCGAGTACGGGGCCCAGCCACTGGTGAGTCAAGTCTCGCGCCGCACGGCAGGGGATCGCACGTATAACTTGGATGTCTTTGGAGGAGTCATTGTGGCGTTGGCCAACAACACTGGCATCAATGTTCTAGAAGACTTGAAGGACAAGATTATTGCCACGGCTTCCATTAGTGGACTGGGCAGTGGTCAAATGCAGTTTCGTGAACTCCAACGGGCGGGTTTGAGCTACATTCAAGACCCCAAGCAGCTTGTCTTTACGTCCAATCAAGGCAAGATAGTCAAGGGATTGACCTCAGGGCAATTCGACGTGGGCTTTATCCGGACTGATCAATTGGAACGATCTAATGGAGACGAAGACCTGGAGACCTTTTTGAAACGCTTCAAGACTATCAACCTCCAGCCACCGCAGACAATGGAGAATGGCGAAGTCTTTCCCTTTCAGACATCCACTCCTCTGTACCCCGAATGGGGGCTCTCGGCACGATCGCATGTCGATGAAGCCGTGTCTCGTGCCGTCCAGGAATCACTGACGGCCTTGTCGGAACACGCCCTTGTGGGGCAGGCGCTGCAAGACTGTATCCAAGATTTTGGACAAGACTTTTGTGCCGGCATGCCCTTTCCAGACGAGTTTGTCGAGGATGCAAGGTGTGATACGACCCCTGAAATCGCACAGCTGTCAAGGACCGCCATGACAGCGGGCAAGTACGCGGGATGGCGAACGACACTGTCGTACATGGATCTTCGTTCGATGCAAGAGGATACTGGGTTTATGCGTTTCGAGGAGAAGACGCATTCCTATCGTTGTGTTCGGTCTGTGGAATTGTATGATGCCATTACATGTCCTGATGGATACTTTCGAAAGACTCCAAAACTTGTAGACGAAGGATGTTCCGCGTCCGGATTGGAATGTCCCAGTGACATGCAATGTGTTTGCAAGCCTTGCCTCAGGGGATACGATGTGGATGTGTTCCCACTTCTGGAGGAGGAAAATGACGGTGAGACAAGGATGACTCGGAACACAGGCGGATTGGTTGCTACCACCACCACCAGTGCTTACCAAGGCTGCGCCAAGATGAGTCTTTGTGGGGAAACGAAACAGACCAAGCCGCTCACATTCAGGGCGGTAGACAACCTCAAACGCTCGGACCTCCAAATGGACGTGCTCCTCCACGAAGGACAAGAGTCACGGCAAGTTCCTGTGGTACCGACAGCCAATTTCACCTACGAGTTTACGCTCTCAGCTCGTCTCGTGGGAGTCATGACGCTGGAGATCTTTGCCGGGGAAGAACAGATTCCCGAGTCTCCACTGAGAATTCTTGTCAACGATCGTGCCTGTGCAGCGGAGTTTGGAGGAGAATACGAAGCCAATAGCTCTGGCGAGTGCGTTTGCAAAGGAAATTACGTTAGCATGGGAGGCGCGTGTGTCCCCTATGCCGTGCTGCTACCAGCCATCTTTGTACCGTTGTGTTTCCTTGTCGCTATTGTGGCGCTGTGGTATGTTGGCAAGAAGCAACGAGAAGCCGATGCAATTTGGCGTGTCGACTACGCCGATTTGAAGTTTACGGGTGAGTACAGTCGTACCTCGGAACCACAGCATCGTGATGGTGGCATGCCGCTCACATGTTGCGTTTTCCGGTCTCCCAGACACTGTGTTGGGGCAGGGAACTTTTGGTGAGGTCTTACTTGCAGAATATCGCGGTACGCAGGTGGCTGTAAAGCATGTGCTGCCTCCCAAAGTTGGCAGCGATGATCCTAGAGCCAGTCTAGTTGGGGTACACATTCCAGAGGGGCGTGTCGCCGCCATAGAAGGTCATCGAGAGTCAAGGGATCAGTACTTGGAAGAGGATCTGGAAACAGGATCGGATACCGGTTCCCTCACTCCCCTTCCTGAGTTTGCCCCTAAAGAGCCACGAAAGCGGTCAAGCGACGCATTTGGGTTAGTCTCTGGATACCGCGTTGGCACCAAATCCAATCTCTACTTGAGAGACATCAGAGGCAGGAGTTGTGGTAAGGGATCGACCGAACGGACTTCTGCAGGGGCTTCCCGCTCTCGCCATTCGAAGCTTAAACGAGACTTCGTCCAAGAAATGAGGCTGCTTTCGAAGGTGAGTCTAATATGAGCTTTGTGCATTGACACTGCAAATGGAGCTGCCCTAACGATTACTTGCCGACGTTCCAATCATCGTACTGCAGCTGCGCCATCCTTGCATTACTACCGGTACGGAACAGGGAATTCAATGGACAGGGCAAGCTTTCCATGCATGCATGCATGCATGCATTCTCACATGCTTCATTTGCCTTGTGGTTTGCAGTGATGGGAGCGGTGATGGAACCTGAACCCATGTTGGTTTTGGAGTATTGCGAGCACGGCTCACTTTACGGCTTGCTTCACAATGAAACGGTATCACTAGAGGGTGAGGTCATCTTGCCGATCCTTCGCGATCTAGCAAATGGGATTAGGTTCCTTCACACATCGTCGCCCGCCATAATCCACGGTGACTTGAAAAGCCAAGTGAGTCAAAACGCAGAGTCTCAATCCCTACCAGTACTTCCTTTCCATTGATTGCTGACTCATGGTGGTTGCGTCCTCGACCGTCCTGCCGTCGCTCATTTCCTTAGAATGTAAGTTGCTTCCCATTGTTTTGCTTCAGCGACAAAGTTCACTCGCTGACGCATTTTGATTTGCGTCAAATGCGAAAGGTGCTGGTGACAAGTGGAATGAGGTGTAAAGTTGCTGATTTTGGGCTATCTCAGAAGGCAAAGAACGCGAAGGCCAGGGGAACGGTGAGTTTGTTGCTACGGGAGATATCGTCCATTCTCAGCTGTGACTGACCTACATAGTCTGGCTTTACAGCCGTACTTCATGGCGCCCGAGTTGCTCCGGGGAGAAACCCCATGCACAACGGAGAGTGACATTTACAGCGTTGGGTTGGTACTATGGGAGGTCTACGCGAGACGAGATCCATATGAAGGAGAAGATTGTCACCAAGTTTTGACTCAGGTGACCGACAAAAGGCTCAACCTTCGGCCACCCATTCCTCAAGGTTGTCCCCGAGAAGTCTCTAGCTTGATGAAGAGTTGTTGGAGTGGCAGTCCCAAATCTAGGCCGACTGCGGAAGCTTTGGATGAACGTCTCAAGATGTTTCATGTGGGCAATGTCCAACCAGGTGCCATGACAATGAAAAACCTAATCAAGAAGGACCAGGACAAGCCCAAGACCATATCTAACGAGGACTTCCTCTACAAATGCTTTCCCCGACACGTGGCAGACTCTCTTGTGAGAGGTGAAAAGGTTGCTCCAGAGTCGCATGATTGTGTCACCATCTGTAAGTGCTGTCGTTTGCGACATCGCTGACTGCCTGCCTGCCATATTGAGTTCTGATCAGTGCCCTCTACCGGTATCCCCGCGAGCCAGTCTTCTCCGATATCGTCGGCTTCACTACCATTTCTTCCACTTGTTCGCCTCTCAAAGTCTCTGATATGCTGGACCGTCTGTATCTGGCCCTGGATGCCTTGTCCGAGAAGCACGGGCTTTTCAAGGTGGAGACCATTGTAAGTGCCTAGTTTGCCACGTGTATGCCTCACGCAGATGGTACTATCCACTGATGCCAGTCCACATTTGTGTCAGGGCGATGCCTTCATGGCAGTCTCAAACCTCCTCGATGGCCAAAGTCATGATCATGTGAAGCGTGTTGCTGCGTTTAGTCTGGAAGCTATTGAAGCAGCTTCCAAGATCTCTGTGGACTTGGACGACCCATCCAAAGGTTTTGTGGAGATCCGGTGCGGGTTCCATTCTGTACGTTCCCAGGCCTTTGTGTATATTATGGTTGCTGGCAAAATGACTGCAGTAGACTCACGCGTTCATTGTGCTGTCCTCTTGTTTACTTTGCTTTTCCCACGCCTCAGGGCCCTGTGGTATCCAGTGTCGTTGGATGTAAGTAATGAAACCCAAAAACGTTACAGTCACGTCCATCTTTTTCGTTGTCTCTGACAATCGCCTCTTGTTTGTTATCTTTGCAGCACTGAATCCACGATATGGCCTCTTTGGGGACTCGGTATGTTTTGACCTTGGGCGTTTCCTTGCAAACTCGTGTTCCGGCTTCCAGCCCGTCAGCCTCTCACATCATCTCGTCGTTGTACTGTTCGTTCCACCAGGTCAATGTTGCCTCCCGAATGGAAAGCTCATCGATCCCTGGCAAAGTGCACTGCTCGGAGGTTTCAGCCCAGCTGCTCATGCGACAGGCACCAGAGATAGTCCTAATGAAGAGGGGTGAGGTGGACATCAAAGGCAAGGGAAGGATGCAGACCTATTTCGTGACGGGGAGCAATCAAAATGACAGCAATATGGATTTTGGAGGATCGAGCAACTAGTTATGGAGCTAGTCTTCGAATAGGAATATGGCTGCTAGCCGTGTGCCGAGCACGTGGGGTCTGTGCTTAGCCTGGCTGATGCTGCCAATCTTCAACATTTGGTCGAATGTGCCGGGTGACTCAGGAGGTTTCGGAGAGCTGCAATGCTGGACCAAAGGACACTTGCGGAGAATCAAGCGTGTTTAGATCTGTGAGGGAAACGATTAGATATCTGGTTAGTAGAATATGTTGGATTGACAGTCGGCCCAACCAAGAGCTCGTTTCAAGTCGTTCGGCTATTCACAACTTTGTAGCGTGGAGACTGATGGTACACTTTATTGTGTCCTTCGTTTAGCAAAGAATAGCATGTCATCCGTTCTCCAGCTGGCTTCTAGTGCTAGAGCTGTTTGGATCTGCATGGGATGAATCCATGAGAATCTCAAAGGGGAGTGCGCCGGGATAACTTCAGCATTCAGAGATGGTTAGCCAAGGTTTTGTTTGGGGAGGCGGGCTTCGTCGCCTAGTCGCAAGGCTGGAATCTTCTAAAAAGCAAAGCTCTCGGAACGATGTTTACTTTAGTTAGAACGCACACATGCCCTGATCAATTTCATTGAAAACTTCAATTTGGTACACCCTTGCCGTGCAGTTGACAAAGCCACAACGAACTGAACAAAAAGATGGTAATGGAACGCACCAGCACCGCACCAGCCGAGAATTGAACTCGGGCCTCATCGTTGCGATTGGTCCCAGGGATAGACCATATATATCTGGTTTCACCAGCGATTGCTCGCCAATGAATGGTGGTGTGTTTACACTATGTTATTGACAACATTGCCAATGATTTATTCCGAGGTGGAATGGTTCGTCCCGCACTGGTTGTTTGGGATCAACATTTGTCCATCGCTGATTCCAATCTGTAAGCAACACATCACTCAAGACCAACGCCGTGGCGATGACCTCGAGAGACGTGGCTCCGATGCGCTCTACCACTGAGCTACTGGTGCATGTTCGCTGAGGATTTGTGACACATATAAACATCAAGATGTTATTGCCAACGCAACGTTTCCATGGGAAGGGGGAAACCAACCAGATGCACAACATGAGCAAGCGACGCATAGCTGGCATCCTGCCTCGATTCTATGAATTTGATCTGATGCGAAGTTGGAAAGACCGTATTAAAATGGGCTCGTTTGATGGCTTCATCGGTCGAGACAGTCTGGAGGCAGCAGGAATATCAAAGCATACACACGGCAAAGTATCGACCCTGGACTTTGCTAATAGCTTCACTGGCAGAGAAGCGCCGTGACTTGGTACAGTTGATCCAACATTTGTATCCATGACTGAACCGGTACGGGAAGGATTGGAACATTGGAACCACAGTCAAAGTGAGGACAAGCCTTCACAGCTGTCTTCACTTTTGTTGACACTGGAGAGCGGCTACCGGACGCAGCGGTACAGTCCGTGTACACAGCATGTACAGCTACCGGAACATGCACTCAACTGTGTTCCAACGAGCTTGGCCAAGGGGACATCGTAGCCCGACCGCATTGGAACGGCACGGTGAGAGCACACAAAAAGCATTGGATCATAACATACCGATACACTTTACAAAGAAACAAACACAGAACAACCATGGCACCCAGTATTAGTGAATTATCTCGCAAGGACACTCAGCCGGAGTCGTTCAGTACTAGTGACGACGACGACTACCTGAGCCGCGATGTTCCGATTGTGTACACTGAAGAAGAACTGGATGTGATGCGTCAAGTCCGTAGCAAGTTGGTGGAAGAGTATGGGATTGAAGAATCTCGTGTTGGATTGACCTTTTTGGCCGTTGCCACCATTAACTCCAAATGTCGCGTCGAGGAAGCAGCAAACAAGATTCGCAAAACGTTGGAATTGATGGAACCATTGGGATGCCCCGACGGCATCAGCGAGGACGTTTGGAAACCCGAGGCAGCATCCCAATTGGCTGGCTTTGCACCATGCGGAAAAGACCACAATGGCGCCGCCACCATTTGGATTGTGGGCCAGCGAGTCCCGAAAGAAGAGGAACGCAATCACGTCCACGCTTGCATTATGCACTTTTTGGCCGTTCATGCCGATGCCATCAGTCTGCGCCAAGGCATTTCCCTGGTGGTGGATGTGAGTGCCGCTCCCAAGGAGGCCAAAAGGGGCAATGAATCTGCCTTGCAAGCACTTCATCAATCGTTTCCACAACGTCCTCAGGCCATTTACATTGCCGGCACCAATGCCATTGCACGTGTCGTGGTCAATGCCACCATCAAAGTGGCCAGTCTCTTTACCAAACAAAAGGTGTTGGATCGAATTCAGTTTGTCAGCGTAGAGCAGGCCAAAGAAAAGCTGCCCTTGTCCAGTTGTCCCAAATACGTTGGTGGCATGGCGGGAGGCATTGAGAGTATGGAACAATGGGTCGAACAGAGGCTCCAGAATCTACCCAAACCGGAACTTTAGAAGATACCATCAAATAAATGAATGGCACAACAATCCACTATGAGGTTAGTCAACCTCCGTGTCTTGTCTTGTTTTCTTTGAGAGAGGGGCAAGCACAGCAGCAGTAAACATTTTAGATTTCTGCACAAGTTCAGATTCTATCTTTGTGTAGTGCATCTAGCTAGCTACTCGCGCCTGCTGTACAGTACCGGTATGTCTTAGCATCATCTTGAGCTAAAAGACAAACTGTATGATCTTGGCGTATTTCTGCTCCAAGTGTTTGGCGGACTACCATGCAGGTTTCTTGATGAGTGGACGGCCCAGTGCACAGTACTGCTGTCAGTGGAGTCTTTTCCTCCTCTTCATCCTTTGCCTTCACTGTCACGACTTGATCAAACCGAATGCCATCAATGCCACCGGTGGATCATTCATCCTCGCAACTCGCAGCAACCAGCCGCGATTTTTTTGCCACACAGTGGTGCTAGCTAGTAGTAGACTTGCTCCCCGTGTCGAAGCAAACTCAGAGGAGGGCGGGGTTCAACACTCTTATCGATGCTTCACAGAAAGTGCATCACACCAGCACCCTTCTGTCGAGGTTGGACAAGCAATGCACCCAGACAAAGGCGCTCCCAAGCAAGCACTAGTAGTGTTGACAGCAGCTTTATGCTGGGAGGAGGCAAGTATACCACTAGCTAGGAACTGATCACTGAGAAGCAACAGAGGAGTTAGCTTCTCTATGCAAACTCGCTGCTACATGGGTTGCTAAAAGGTCATAGGTAGGACACTTGATTTTCAGGGAGGGTATCGAGACGCGGGTTTGATGGAAGCACCGAAAACAAGAAGCCACTGTGGCTGGCTGCAACCACTATCCATCCAAAAGCCAAGCTAGCTAGAGAGGTGCGGTTGGGTGTACCCATTGGTCATCCGGTGCCAGAAAACAGATATCTCTTCACATTGGCGCTGCGCTGGCAGCATCCCTTATTATTCAACTCCCGCACAGCGAAAAGCAAACTAACCAGCAACACCAGCTGCGCGCAGCACTTCCAGCTAACCAGCACTTCAGAGAAAGCGGATGGGGATCGCACGAAGCTAACCAGCGCAAGGACCAGCACACCTAACCAGCAAAGGCTCCAGCAAGAATGGCCTTTGCCTTGATAACAAAAGCACCCCTACACCCCTCTTGAGTACGGTACGGTACAGTCGTACTCATATCTTTCTACCGTACATCGTACCACCACCTACTCGTGTAAATGATCGTCCGAAAGATCCAGTTGATCATTAGCGAAGCTGTATGCACTCTAGAGCTACCCTACAATAGGAGCTCCCTTCTTTCTTTAATTATACTCCTAGCTAGTAGTTTCTTCAATCTACTGCTTCAGACTTCCGAGTGTGGCACAGAGCACTATTGCCCGAAAAATTGGAGTACAAACTTCTTACAGTACCAGTACTGCACTTCTCGTACCAAAAGCAAGCTTGCGATCTGCTGAGTGACCTCGACACCTCGACAATTTTAAATCTTAAATCTTGTACAAAAGCAGTAAAAACTATGAGCTTGAGCTCAACTTGGTCACTGAGTATTAATAGCTCGGAGTACTTTACACTTTACTGTACATTGTAGGGTAGGGTGATTTATTTGTCGCTCACAACCAAGCACAGTCGAACTAAATAAATTTTCAGTAAAAAGATTATCACGGAGTGAACTTTGAAACAGCTAACGAACAGCTGAATGGCTCCCCTTAACAACATTTATTTCCAGGACAGTACTGAAGAAGGTTTCACGCACTGTTTCTTTCTACAGCACTTTCTACTGATATCTCAATACTGTTGCTAGGCCATAAAAGGGATTGAGCGGTACTCAGTACCCCATTACTCGCTGTGGTACTCGAGAACCAGCATTCTTTCTAAGGACGCCTCTTTTATTCGACGGGAGGGTTGCGGCGTTGCGGCGGAAATGTCTTTTAAGCAACCAAAGCAATAGAATTCACCTGACCCTTGGCATCCGAAAACATGAGTACTCAAGATAGGGATCTTGGAGTCTCGTACTTTCAGGTTGACGTTTTGGCAAAACTTCTGCTCACAATTTCAGCTTTTCTACCGAACAACTCATCAACAACAACAGCAACACACAACAATGAGAGCCGCTTCCGATATCCCCAACGTTGCTTCGATGCCCATCCCGACGAAAGAAGATCTCAGGGAATCGTTCCCATCTCTCCTCCATAGGATGCTCGCCGAGATCGATCTCTTGGAAACCGACGAAAGGAATCTTCGTGAGATTGTTAGTTGGCAGGAGCATGGAATGGCGTTTCAGATCCACAACAGGGAACGCTTCATTGATGTTATCATGCCGCTATGGTTCCCCAAGCTGAAATACTCAAGTTGGGTTCGACAGGTTAACTCCTATGGATTCAAGAGAGTCCAGAAGGAAGGAAACGACCGAGGAGCCCTCTATCATTCAAACTTCATCAGAGACATGCCCGAGTTGGCGGCGGGAATTGAAAAAACCAAGCGTAAGAGCAAAGGTAACAAGCAGAATGCATTTCCCTTTGGACGAAGCACAAGCAGCATGCATCCTTCTCTCTCGGCGCCCATGCTCAACCAGTGGCAACAACTTCCCAACGGCCACTTTAAAGACGCTTCCAAGTCCATGTCAGCCCCATCGAGCAGCGAAGGGCTCTGTGGCATGATGATTAACTCCAGAATGTCACTTGCCCCTCGAGGTCCTCTCCCAATCCCATCAAACTGTTCTTGGTCGCCAAGTGGGCAAGTTTCCTCCTCTTGGTTTTCGAATGGCGGGCAAGAATCGGGACCTGCCACAAGCAAGCTGTTCTCAGCTCCAATGCCTTCCCAGCCCACAAACGACCAGCCAACAGTGGATGATGATCTAGAGCCTCTTGACATGTTTGATGGGATGTGGAGCACAGTCCTGGAAAACGATATTGCTTCTTCAATGGTGCCCCAAAACGAGCGATTATCCGTTGGTTCTCTGAAAGACAGCGAGTGGGATGACATGGAGCCTCTCCGCATTTTTGGTCCTGATGACAGTCGAAAACTCAAATAAGAAGAAGGCTCAACTTTGAAGGCTCAACTTTGAAGACTCGGGTTTGAAGGACAGTGAATGGCCGCTTCTTTCGCCATGACTTCGACTGCTAGTAGTAGTTACATCAGCAGAAACCACAACTAGACTACATAAAAAACTATTTGACACATTTCTCTACCACGAGCTGGTAGCTACTAGAGTTACACAACCCAAGCCCGCAGAACTGCCCACAACCTCGCCACCATCTTCTGGCAAATATATCTTCTGGCAAAAGAGCTGCTCGCTCGGCTTGGTCTGGCCTCTCATTTTCACCGCTCCACCGCCAATGATCCTCTGGACCCTGGCTCTGCTTGGGAAGCGCAAGAGTCATGGAGCTGATGGCTGGAGGTCCTTTTCCCTGGTACCAGAAAGCCAAAAAGAAGTCACAGGATTGCTCACATGCACCTGATGACCCTCTTCTAGCCATTTGCAGCTCTGCATGGTCCACCCAGCAACTCCCTCCCTTGCTCCTCGCTCTCCACCGCCCCACTGATCCTCTGGCTCTTGGGAATTGGCAAGCCCAACAGTCACAGAGCTGATGGCTGGATGTCCTTTTCCCTGGTATAAACCAGCCCAGAAATCAAAAAAAGAAGTCTAATACACACGATTGCTCCAAATGCACGTGTTGACCCTCTTCTAGTAGGGCCTGTGAGTCTCGAGTACTCTCTACTAGTACTCTAAGATCTAGCACTTCAACGAAGGCCCGGCAACGGACATTGAACCACAACCATTAGAATAGCATAGTCTACATCGTGCACCACAAGTCAGTGTCGGCAAAACCGTTCTGTGTGTCAAAGCTGGCTTTCTCGTGGCCTACGGTATCGTACCTATGTTGCCTGTCTACCGCTAGATCGCGAAGCCAGAGATTCTCCAACTGTGAATGAGTTTCAAAGTGGTGGATGCCTCCTGCACCTCCACCTCGACGACCTCCCGTACTGTAGCGCACCAACGGAATATCTATTATTGAGTCACAGAGCTGATGGCTGGATGTCCTTTTCCCTGGTATAAACCAAAGGACCTCCCTGGAGCTCTCCCTGGTATAAACCAAGCCCAGAAGTTTAGAGGAGTCAGCTAGAGCTAGTAGTCAACATGTCTACATGATGTATTGTACACAAGTGCTCCGCATGCACGTGGTGACCCTCTTGGAGCCTTCTCTATTGATTTAGGACTTCAACGAAATTGGGCCCGGCAACAGACTTGGAACCACAACCTAGACTAATACATAATACATCAATACATCGTGCACCATACTGCGGTGTCGGCAACACCGTTCTGGATGGAGAATGGTGAAAGCTGCCCTCTCTACCGGTACTCTCTACTCCTACTCGAAGACTCGACTCGGAGCTCGGAGTACAGTACCTGTGTTGCTTTTGACAAGGTACTAGTACAGGTTCTAGCTACCAGTAATAAAATAGTACCTCTAGCTATAGCTAGATCGAGAAGCCAAGATTCTCCACTACAGTACTGCGGAACACTTTCATCAGAGGTCGATGGCTCAGGCTTTTTCCAGCTAGCTAGACTCTAGCTAGCTAGCTAGCTAGTAGCTAGAGTACATACATGTACATGTACTGCGTATGCCGCAACACTCCACGACCTAGGTACGACCTCCCGGCCTCCCGGTACCGTAATATCTGCGTCTTCGCGATCTACGAGTTGATCTACGATGATCTTCAAGGCACGATCCTTGTTTCTTCACTGGTATAAACGAAGTGGTTGTCCTATTTCTTAAGTAACTGTTGGCTGATGGTCCCGTGGCCTCAGTGCTCTTCCACTGATGGACAATCATCTGAAATCACTTACTTTACTTAAGCTATATTGGAGGTGGCATCAAAACCTTCAACTCCTGTAGTTATTAATTAATAGTGCACCTGTCTGTGACATTGCAGCTCATTGCAAGGAAAGGTTGCTGAGCCACCACTAGTCTACTCCACAGCTCTCCACTCTCCACCAGTACCGGTACCGGTATTAGAGAACAGCTTGACAGATCTAGAGCTTTGACAGTTAGATCTAGTTGCCGGTTGCCGGTGCTGAGATAGAGTCTGCAGTCTGCTGAGTTATTCAATTTTGTATGAAGTTTCAGTGAAGAAGCACTTGGACTCAATCTAAACTTCTTAATGACAACGACTTCTCCAGCTCTTCTCCGGCCTTTAAGCCTAGGCAGGTTAGCGAGTTCTCATTCAGTAGCTCCAGGCCTGGCTTGAAAGATTTGGCACGATTGTGCTCGGAAACAAATCTGTCTCAAGTACTGGTGTTTTGGTAACCTCCCAACACATACATGACTCATCAGTACTCCAAGCTCCAAAGCCAAAACGTGGTCCTTCTTTTTCGAACAGAATACTTAAGCAAAGATCTCTTCGAAGCCTCTCACCGATGACTCAGATGGAAGCATCTACATTCTCGGGTTTATTGGTTTGGTCCTAATCCTGTACGTATACAGAACTTGGATAGTCAAAGTTTGTACAGAAATGCTTACAGTACATTATACTACAGAACCATTTATAGTAATTATTTCACACGATCATCATTGTAAAACGTTTTGTATTTACAGAAGCTCTACAGTACAAAGGCAGCTAAAAATCTTGATCTGTCTCTTCTACTTGAAATCTACTGCTATTGGTTGCAGTTGGCACGTGTTTACCGGTGAAAGTGGCACGTGCCCATTTGTTTTTTGACCCCAGCAAGGTAAGAGGGGGCCTTGAGAAACTCAGTGCACCAGCCGGAGCTGCGACTCTTCCAGAACCGTAGACTACAGAGCTACTACGGTACTACGGTACTACAGTACATACTGTAGCCTATTAGTATCCTATCAGACACAGGCAGGTGGATAGGTGGATACACAGTGTGGTTGACTTGGCTCGGCTCGAGAATAGCAAAGGTACATGTAGCAAACTCAAAACTATTTGGTTTGGGCTCACAATTTTCGATCAAGCTTCACAGCTTCACAACAATCAATCACAATTCCATCAACGATTCTTTACCAACACATACACCATCACGATGACCGCCGCCATGATTGATCCCAAGTCTACATCCTTCCCAACATTGGTCCACCGCATGCTAACTGAGATCGATGAACTCGCCAGTAACCCCGAGAAGGACACTCACAAACTTTCCAAAGTTGTAAGTTGGCAGCCCCATGGCATGGCCTTTTTGGTGCATGACAAGAAGAAGTTTGCAGAGATCATCATGCCCAAGTGGTTTCCTCGCTTGAAACATGCGAGCTGGATTCGCCAACTGAGCCTGTTTGGCTTCAAGAGGGTGCACGCCGAGGGCGACGACAAAGGAGCCATGTACCACGAGAGCTTCATTCGGGGCATGCCCGAGCTGGCTGCCAAGATCCAAAAGGTCAAGCGCAAGAAGAACAACGAGGATGCCATCAGTCCTAGCAGCAGCGGGCTAAGCCTCAACACTGCTTCCTTGGCCTTCTTGCAGCAAAAGAAGGACAGCAACACCAACCTTACAAGCTTCAGCAGTGACGTCCAGGCTCCCCTTCCAGTTGTTTCCAGCAGCAGCCTTCGCGACATGGTCTTCCACGCAAGAAGAAACACAACTCTTCCTTGCCACACCTCTTCTTCTTCCGCCATTCCTCAGCTCCCTTCCCTTGCCCTCTCAATGTCTCCCCAGCATCAGCAGGAGACCGCTCTCCAGCTGAGGTCATTCCCCCGTATTGAAATGCCCTACATGCAAGAGCAACCCTTGAAGGCCGCTTCTACTTCCTTCTTCACAGAAGACGTTTTCTCGTTGCTGCAGAGGTTTACGGGCCTTGACGAAGACAGCGATGCTCTTCATCAGCCGCTAGCAGTGGATGAAGCTACTTGGGATTTGGAACCTCTTCCCCTTCATTAAGCACACATACATTCATTCAGCAGCAGAACTAAACACACTAACTAAGTACATATATACAACACACAAGGCAATGCAACGTGTCCTGGAACTAGCTTAGCTAGCAGTAGATGGATATTGGTTGCCAATCACCCACGATGAAAACAAGTCTGGAAAGAAGCAGCAAGATGTAACGAGTTGAGTTCTTTGCTCGTTGGGTTGATAGTTAAGTGGCGCACAGCTTCTAAGCAAACCTACGGTGCTCGCACTGCTCACCCCAAAACCACCCAACGCGCAAACCCCCCGTTCATCCGGCCGGACTGCCATCGTGCCTGACCAGGGGACGAGGTCAGACTAGATGAACGCACATTAGTTCTTCCTGACTTCCAAACGACTCTGCCAAAGCTTCAGCCGTTGCACCTTCCCGGAACCGGCACCAACCCACACGGTACCAGGTACTAGTAGACTTCCTGGCGAACTTGTTGGTCAAAAAGGGGCAGAGGTGGATCATCAGTGCTAACTGTTGCCCAGCTAGCTGAGCAAGGTGCTGCTATCCCCCTTTTTGCGGAATCTTAAAAGTTCCACTCTGCCACAGCCGGTTGGACGGTTGTAAATCATGAGGTCTTCTGCTCGTTGCCTTGTTCAGAATGGCAACCCACCCAGGCAAGCGAGTGTTCCGATAGAGCAGCCAACTTGTCAGTTGAAACTCGTTTGTCCACTTCGGTTCAACAATGGCTAGGTGTCGTGACTAGGGTACGACTGGTGTCAAGAGTGCACGTTCCTCAAATCTAGTAAAGCGGATGCTCTCAGACATGTACTTCTTGCTCGTATGGCGTTAACCATGCAAATGCGCTTCTTTGTTCCGTTGTCCAAATGACTCTGGCTATTGGCCATCAGATGCGTCTACGGCATGCTTGATCGTTGCTTCAATTGGTTTCAAAGGTTGTCAAGCCCAACTTCTTTTCTTTGTTTCACCTTGGTTGTAACATTGCGCACCTCCTGGGCAGCAACTGCTTCGTCGGTTTTTCTTTGACCACCGTGCAAGGTCAGGGATTGGGTGATGTCGTTGTATGCAACAAGTGCCTACCGTATGCAGCGCCACTGCTGTGTATAATCTCTATTCTATTTTTGATTTACTTGTGTCCCCTGTAGTCTAGCTAAATGCGTTCTCACTGGCGAAATAGATTCTTCTGGCTACGTCTCCCGCTCAACAGGCGCAACAGACCAGCACATGCAGCCCGCATTCTTCTTGTTCCTTTCAGTTGTCTCCTTTCCTCTCTTTGTATTTTTGCCAAACGGTCGTAGTCCATAGAAAACTCTGGGCTAAGGTAGATCTCCTTTGAATCGTCCGAGGACAGAGACTGCGTTTTGTCTTCGTCTTGTGCAGGTTTGTGGTACCCGTCTGGAGCAATCTTTTGAGTCTTCACCGCTTGCCTTTGGTTTCGATATGCTTTCATGGTTTGTTGTGTGGAGTTGAGTTGCTGATATGATGCTCAGTGTGTGCTTCTTGTGGTGGTTGCAGTTTTTCTCTGGATTTTGTGAGAGGTGAAAGCGGCAGATCCTTCGCAGTTGAGTTGAAGCTGGGAGCCGAGAAGAACTCTGGGTCAGTCAGCGCCTTCCGATTTGCGAATTCTCCAGAATGCACGCCGGCTGCCAACCACCTAGTACCAGGCACTACTACACCGTACGGTTCCAATACATGTAGCCAACAGCATGCAGTCAACGTCGGAACGGTGCTGTTGAGGTTCCTGGTTAGCCGGCAATAGTAGCATACTGTGCTACTAGACTAGTACTGCATACCGCAGCCATATCCAAGTCGTCCTGCTTCTCACTGCCTCTCCTGCCCTGCAAAGTACCAGTAGCGTCCTTGGCTTGCCAGTCACGCGTCTACCTACCAGGAACCGGTTGTTGCTTCCCTGGTCTCTCACCTTTCAAGTTTACCAAGCTAGGGCTGCAACCGAGGTGCAACGCATGGTCAGCACCATCTTTCAAGCATCAGGCAGCTACTAATGAGCGAGTGACAGTCTCAATGGACTCCCAGCCAACTGCATCAGCCGTCCGCACTCCAAATGACATTGACTGGTCACCATGTTTTAAATATCTACTAGCTAGCTAGTTGCAACAGTACTAGTATGTCGGTAGACTGCCATGGTTGTTGACAGCAGCCATCATGATAGTGGGACGGTGGCACATGTACGGTACCGGAAGACTCCATGTTGTTGACAACACCCTATTGCTTTTCACCCATTGGTACAATACCGGGACGGGCTGGGAGCAAATGTGAGTGAGAGTCCTCAGTCAGAGTCTCAATCCCTCCTTTTAGTCAAGAGAACAGAAATTTGCCGCTTTGGACGACAAAATCAAGATTATGACACACCAATTTGATATTTCTCTTTTTTCTTGGCACCTCTTTCCTTTCAAACACATTACCCGTAGCCGAGCTGAGAGCTTTGCAGACCAAAACAACCAGAGCGGTGCATGACATTGGGCGGCTTGGAGTGTGTTGACGACGACGACGACGACGACGAGCGTCTATCCTTGACGTACAGTCATTCAACCAGCTATTGGCTAGCTAGAGTACGGTACCGTAGAACAGCAGCCAAGATGTGGTCTTTACTCGGGAGGCGACACGAGTCCATCATTGCTCCACCAGCGTGTCATGGAGTCCACAACAACAACAGTCGGATTTCCAGTTCCTTGCTGCTGGTGCTTTTCGCCATTGTGACATTTCGACCCTGCGAAGGCTCGGCGGTGGTTGTGGCACAGCGCAACAACATGCTGCTGCGTGTCAAAGTGTCCGTGGATTTGGATTTGGACCTGCTTCCGACCAATGACGATTGGTTTCTCCAAGGCATCAACGTATCACACGTGACAGTAATGGTGGAGGAACAGAGAGATTACATTGTCACTGTGGATGAACTCCAACTCGAAGAAGAAACTACAGACAGTTCCTCCTCCTCCAATAATGATGCGATCCAAGTGGAGGAGTACTTGTCGCTCCGTTGGGAGGCAGAAAATTGCTCTTCTCCCTCGTCGTCACTTCCAACTCTACGTGGTGAAATCCATCTGTCCTATCTCTTGCCGTGTCATAAAGCAGTGGGATCATCCTCCACGACGAGGACTCTCTTGGTATCCTTGTGGGAGGACCACGCGTCATTGGCGGAAGCAGCGCCAACATTGCCAACAATGCTCACTCGAAGACTCGTCAATCTTGTGCCAACAAGAAGCACAATGACCAACCGTCATCCAAGTTTGCAAAACAGCGTCGTGGAAATAGAGCTGGAAGCAAAGACGAGCCTTGTTTGGTCACCAGCAGCGGAGCCACTAGTACGAGAGCTCCGGGGCCAAGCTTGGTGGACGAAGACAAGTCTGGCGGCGACTGCTCTACTTGCACTTGTCGTGTTTGGGGTGTACTGGAGCGATGGCTTCCAGGGCAGTACCGTGCAGGCCGATCCTGTCATCATTGGGGATTCATCAGCTGAACATGCAACAGTCCGAAATGAAACCCAAACAGGAGAATCCAGTCGAGAGGATGCACGCAGCACGGATCCCGCGAACGACGATGCGGGCAACGAGGATGAACACGACCAGGACAGTAGCGTGCAAAGTGACCCTGCTATTCGCGATTCACCGCTACTTGTTGTGCTAGATTCTAATGATGAAACTCAAAGTGCGGATGCCAGTCAAGGCGGTGGAAGCTGTACGGATCCCGCGACTGATTTGACCAACGAGGATGATAAACACGATAACAACCGAAGCAGCTCGTACCCTTCTATTGCTTCTGCACCCTCCACCATCGAACAAGGGGCAATCTCCACCAACCGTACAACCGACAACACGCTGTGTGGTTTGAATCAGGAGTTGCAGGGGGCACCGCTTCAGACTCCGCCACAACGAGAAAAGATGCCCGTACCGGTAGCTGCAATCACAGGCAGTAGAGCAAGCCCTTTTCACAGCCACCTCGAATCTGCCAAGTCGGACGTGAACCAAGAGCTGAAGGTGACACCTCTTCAGACCACGGAGAGCCAACTACTAGAAACGAAGCTACATGTACAAGCTGCAATCACTACAGGCCGCAGAGCGAGTCAATCGCATCATGAACAACATCCGCTTGAATCTTCCGAGCTGGATTTGTCCAGTCCGCAAGTTGTATCTCCCAAGACGGACGAGAGCACGAAACAAACTCCAACTGTCTCTCGTCAGGCTGGCAACTCGACGCCAAAGGAATCAGCGGGGGACGACACCGGGGACAATCGTCCAGTTCGAACGGAGGGCACGCCAAAAAGGAGTGCGTCGATGCCTGGGGATCCATTCAACACTCCAGACGGCAGGGAAGCAGTCGACCAATCATCCTCTGACAAAGCAGTGTTGAAAACCCCCGAGCAGCAACCCATCGTGGAAGCCTCCAACGACAGCAGCAACAATGCCGCGGACAACTCATCGGCCGCCAGTGCAATGTCATCGCGCAGAATGAAGCGAGCAACACCGAGTCCCTACCAAGAGACCGATCGTGCGGAAGAGGAGTCCGGTCGAAAAAAGAAATCAGGTGCCAAGCACAGTCCCAGGGCACGACGGCTGGAATCCCCTACAAGCAATGGAGGCAAGGGGCATGCAATCGTATGCCCGCTGGATTCGTCGTCCGAAACACAACTAACGACGCCCAGCACAAAGGGACGGACAGTCATTGCATCGACGCAATCCTCTCGGAAACGACGCTCTTCTGCTTCCAGTGAGGATGGAGGTCTTTCGTCGGTGAAGGACGGCAGTAGCAATTCGCAGCAATCAAAACGACACAAACGCTGTCGAAGGAGCATCTCGAACGCCAACAATATGGCACTACCAGATGTAGTCCCATCGCCATCGCTCAGCAGTGCGGCCAAAGAAGTGACTGAACCTGTTCCATTCGATTTTAGCATGGAAAGCTTTTCGGGCTAAAGATACATGAGAGACACTTTCCAAGAAGAGTCTCAGTCGGAGAAGTGTTTGGACAAGAGAGATCGGTGCAACCTTTGTAGTTGCACTTGTGGCATGTTGAAATAGCATAATTGTAGTTCAGATGATCATTCATGTATTCACTTGACTTGCTTTGCAACTGCATTTGGGAGCAAATAGTGAAGAAAGCATTTCCAAGTGGACAACCACGCGTGGGTTCCCTCGCGACACGAGCCGACAATTCATGACAGCGCCAAAGACAAGCAGGGACCTTATCGTTGAGTTCTTTCATTCCAAAGATTCGATTCCGCTGGTAGCTTCGTGTCGAGCGGGAGGGCCGTCCCAAGCCTTATCGTGAGTTACAAGAGTGTAGATGACCACGGACCACGAGCATGACTGCATCAAATATGCACAGACTACTGTAGCTAGGCCTCCCGCCTGTGGCGCTAAGCAACGCGGAACGGAGACGGTGCAAATGATGGCACCAAGATTCACCCATGGATTCGATGCCGAGAAGCCCCAATGCACGCACTTCCGAGGAACAACAAAACTCATTTCTGTGTTATGTATTTGTATATTTCAAACAGTTTGTTTCATTTCATGTGCTAGCGTATGTCTCCTGTTGTTTGTTCATCTTAAAACATCCTCTAGTCCACACCCTCACTCTCTACGGGAATCCACCGAGGGGGCAACCGATGGCTCTTTGTCGTCTCTTGAGGTATCCAGCAACTCTTTCCTTCGATGCCTCAACACGAGCTTCACCCAGCTTCCGATTAGAATCTGATGAAAAGTGCTAGCATGACAATAGTGGAAATGGTGGTGCTGGCAAAAACATACTTGCATGTTCGCATCAAGATTTGTCCTTCACTGACATTCAGACCAACCACAGCCAAAGCAGCGATTATGTTGTTGAGACAGATTCCATTACCAGCTGAAGCACCGTATGCTTGCAGGGCCAACATGGAAGTAGTACTGATACCAATCTCTTCCGCGGCAATCATTTGAATCTCGCCAAAGGTCAAGTTGGAAACCGTGGTAGAGCCAGAGAAGAACGATCCCAATGCACCCAACAGAGGCGCAATGACAACAAAGCCTTGTTTGAACCAACCGGCCAGTACGACACCCAACAAGAAGGCTGGACTCTCGGTTCCATTCTTAATCATGAGCTGGACAAGGATCAAGGCACCACAAACCGCAATGGCAGGATTGGCCAAGCGGGAGGACACCGTGCTGGCAATATCTCTGGGCGAACACGTCAAGTCCTTTCGGAAAATCAGCATGGTCAAGCATGATATAACCACAAAGGGGACCAAGAATGGAATGTAGAACAGCTCATACTTCCAGTTGAGATTGGGATATGTCAGAATGTGTCGCAGCTGCAAGACAGCGGCCACAGATAGACGAAAGTCGCCATAGGTTCCAAATTGCACTTCCCAGTAGGGAGACTGTTGGTTGAGAACGGGTTTTATTCCGAAGGTCTCAACACGGGTCAAGATCAACGTCAAGACCACGCCCCAGATGGGGAATGTACGCAGAATAACTTCGACGAGATAACCTTCCGCATATGATTTGCGAGGCCCCAATAGCGCATCTTCACGACTGGTGGAGGATTGTTTCATGGACGCAGTGGGCTTTTGTGTAGTTTCAGTTTCTTCTGGAAAGAGTTGCGTTGGTTCCATGGTTTCCCCTTCATCAGATTGTTGTTGTTGTTGCTGTTCACCGTTCTCATTGGATTCCTTTGCTGGAGCTTCAATATCCCCATTGCTATTGACACTAGTAGATGGTGCTACATAGACCACGGTGCGACTGCCGTTCTCATTCTCCTCTTCCATGTTGGGTGCCTCATCGTTGTCCTTTTGTACTTCAATGTTCCAGTTTCCCGTCATGCTGGATTTCAAGTTCTTGATGGATCCGTCATCGTCTCCGGCTTCAACTTCTTTGTCATCTTTGCTGGCATTGGCGCCATCCCCAGCAGTTTCATCATTGTCCGATTTGTCTGTGGTAGCGTGGCTTTCAGCTTCTTTGGTGGGTGCAGTCGTTGATGCCAAGGTAGTGGTACCCTGGAACGTGACGCTTTTGACAGGAATCTCCGTCAGATCGGAAATGGCTCGATGATATCCTCGATTGGGGTCATTATTGTCTTCGTCGTCGTCCTCCTCACCACCAGCCTCGTTGGTACTTTCAGCAGCAGGCTTTGCTGATTCGGCAAAGTCATCATCGTTTTGTTCTGCCATTCCCACCTTGAATTTGATCAAAATGGCATTCAATCCACATCCGACCAAACCACCGATAAGGGATGGGAATTCGTAGTTGATGGTGGCCAATCCTACCAAGGGTCCCATGACACATCCAATACTCAAAAACAGGAAAATAATGTTGCGTTTCACCACAGCAAATGGAATGAGAATGGTCAATATGAATGGAATGAGAATGAAGGAGGAAACGAGCATGCAAATGGCAGCCTTCATGGAGATTTCCAAAAATTGATCTTCCGTCAAGTCCAAACTTCCAAAGCCAAACCACAAGGGAGTACCCACAGCCCCTGAAACCATTCAGAAACAAAACAAAACAAAACAGCACGAATTGTGAGAAATCAATCAACCGTACACACATACTTATTTTGTCTTCCTCTTGTCCTATTTTTACTTACCCCACACAGTGGCAAATGTATTAAAGACAAGCATGATAACGACCGATTCCAAGGGTGGATTGCCCGTGCTGACCAACATGGGTGCTCCCAACGCCACGGGAGTTCCAAATCCACTGGCACCTTCTACCAAAGTGGCAAATCCAAACAACAGCATGGTTTCTGCCACCTTGTGTCCATTGGTCAATGCCTTCATTTCTCGCATCATGTAGGGCAAGCACTTGGTCGCTTCCATGGTTTCAAACAGTGTAATAGCACCCGCCATGATTGAAAGGGGTGTAATGGCTTCGTGTACTCCCAAAATGACACAGGCACTCGTCAGAATCGGATTGCTACCCAAATACATGAGTCTCACCAAAAACATGATTGCAGCCGACATTGGCAAGGATGTGGTGGTGGGGGTTGGATTGGGTTTGATGGTGACAATAATCAGGTAGATAATGGGTAGCAGACAAAATAGGACATCCATAACTTCGCCCCACGGACCACCGGTATCGGTCAAAAACAATACTTGACACTCGCATCCCAAACAGTCGTCCAGTCCAACACAAGTGGTGGGACACACGTCCAAGTGTTCGGGGGAATTATCTTGACAGACATATTCAAAGGTAGTATCGTCGGAAGATGTAGTGCCATTATTTGTGGTTGCATTCATCAGGAAGGCAACCGGACTCAACGTCACTGGCAGCAAGTTGGGATCATTCACATCCACGGTAAACTCGAGATCTGGTTCCGACATTTTTCAAAAAGCTCTTTTGGTTGGTTACTACAGTTGCTCAGTCAGTCTGTCAACTCCAAGTTAGAGGGAGGAATGGCGATAGTGTTGTGTATTTGTTTTGGCTTACAATGTTGACTGCAGCCACTCAGGTGAGTTTTGGCTGATGAGGAAGAGGAAAAAGTGCTGCTGGTTTCTTGGCGGATCCTTTCTTCGTCAGGCTTCGCTTCGTCAGGCTTCGCATCCAAAAGAAGGAGTGGATCCGTGGAGGTAAAAGTATCTTGATGAGTGTTACGTAAATTTTGTACTGCACTCACTTTTGACGTATGGTAGGATTTCATTGTCACATTGGGATCTGAGAAGATCCAGAATGCTTTCTCATTGGCTCGTTCGCCTTCTTGTTCCGAAATTCTTGCGGACTGTTGCGGTCAGCGGTACAGGCAGCTGCCAGCACCGCGAAGCATGACCAAGACGCTGACTGTCACTCAGCAATGTTGAGGGCGGCGCTGCATACTGTGGGAGAGCAGGGAGGACGGAAGCAGGGCCAGGGAGGACACCAAACCATGTTGCTCAATGAGGTTCGTGTTTAGATGATGAGGTGTTGGAGATCTCGAGATGAGCGGCTCGGTAGCGCGGTACTATAGTGTACGGTCGTGATGTTGTGATCTTGTGATGATGTGCGGTAGATCGAGCGGCAAAACCCGCAAACCTGTCGAGAGAGATGAAGAGAGACCGCTCATTTTTAAAAACATACAGGTATAAAGTCGGTTTTGGTCCATCGCTTTGAGACATCAGCGATACTATAGCAAAAACAGTACAATATCGGAAACCTTCTGTCTCACTCTCTATTTGCAGAGTTAACGGGACTCAATAATGGACCAAAATATTTAACTATCTCACAAAAAGTAGAACGAAAATGAAATACACGTTTAACATAGGGTATATGATGTTAAATCATGTGGTCAGTATGGGTAACATGCTATGAGTCAATGGTACTTGAGGTCGATTTCGTATTACTCTACTTATGGGTCAATCGGACATTGAGACAGTCATTTGCTTATAGACGGTTTTGGTCCATTTTTGGGCTGTAGGGCTAGTACACTTTCTACGTGTCTCACCCACTTCCTTTATTAAACTCGTACATAGGGGACGGATTCTTGTTGGACGGAAAACTTGACCCGTTAAAAATAGTAAAAATACGCCAAAAACAGGACTGTTTTCTTGTGAACGAGGGAAACGGGCAGAAGCGTTCGCATAAAAAATCGAGTGTGTCCCGGAGATTTTGTTCTTAATAACAAGGCTTGAAACCTTTTGGAACCGTTAGAAGTACGCCGCTCAGGCCGGAGGTTAAAAATACGCCGAAACTCCGGGGAATATTTTTGGCTCAAAAAATGTGTCCGCAATCGCCCATCCCAGCCATTTCCCTCCCTCGTGCGAGTAATAAGCTTTGGTGGGCCAAAGGAACCTCAGCACGGACTCAGGGCTGAGGGCTGGGGGCTGAAGTACACAGCACGATTACAGTGACAATCCACCATGGACCCTACATCCCTTCAGCTGCTGCAGCAGCAGCTGCAGTTGCAGCGTCGTCGTCAAGAGCAGCTCCAAAGTGGAGGACAGTATCAGCCACCTTCACTTGGCAATGCGGTTTGCAATTTTTTGGAAACTGGAAGTGTGTCCCCTCGGTTTGTTGCTACCCTGCCAATCCCCGTTGCTCAAGAACAGGTCCAGTGGCATAGCCAACAACAATCAGGCAAAGCTCAAAAGCGAAAGAGCAACAAAAAACAAAAACAACCCGTGGAGAAGAAGAAGAGAAAACCCAAAAATCGCTGCCAGAAACCTGACTGCTACGAACTACATTCAGGGAAGTGTTCCGATGGGTCACGCTTTTGTGGCAAGCACAGAGAAGAGCATGAAAAGAAAAAGGATCCAGATTTTCAGCCACAAGCTCCTTGGGTCAAACCAACCTGTGCACAATGTGGAAATGATCCTGTGCCTGACAAAGATGGCCTGCTCCTGTGCACCAAACACAGAAAAGAGGATAATAAAAACAGGAAAAGGAAGCAGCGTGCCAAGAAGCTTGTGGAAGAAGCTGTACAAGTCCTTCATATCGAACAAGTGATGAAGAACGCTGATGAGCGGAAGGACCGATTGAAGAAATTCAAAGAATTGGATCCAACTGTCGGGACTTACAGTCCAGGCGACGACCCCCTTCCAACTCTTCCGAACCATGGCTTTGGCAAAATCCAGTACTATGACGATACAACACTGCAGGCAATGATGAAGGATGCGAAGATGCCAAGTCACATTCATTGTTTGGGTGGGGGGGAATATGGGGCCCTCCGTACGCAGAGCCATGATTATGTGGAGAATGACTTCATTGCTGAAATTGCTACGTCCAGTCGCAAATTGGTCCTTGAGCACAAGCAGCTGTCGGTAGAGTTGACCAAGGCTGCCAAACGCAATTGCAAGCACTTGGAGATTGAAGGCGACAGTGCTCCCGCATTCAATCGGGCTGCGGAGGTCCATTTGGGTGAGCACACGGAAAAAATTCAATTCTTTAAAGCGCACAGGGACAAGAAAGTGTTTGGCATGGTGACGCTCTACGGGCTAGAGGGATTCAGCTTCAATTTTGTCATTGTGGAAGGTACTGTTGAAGGCTCGAACGACAATGTTGAATTTGATAAAGGACTCGGGAACTACAAGGAATATGACCAATGGAAGACTACCCTTGAGCAGGAGGACAGGGAAGGTGTGGAGCTGTACGAAGCTAACCTCAAGAGCAAAAATGGGGATGGGTACCAGAAGGGGTTTCACACCATCATCGTGTACAAGCTGAAGGCAGGACAGCGCCTCATTTTCAACGCCCAGGGACTCACCCATGGAGTCATCGTCCCAGCGTGGGTCCCACAGGCAGATGAGAGCAAACCCCGTGTCAAGAATGAACGCTCTGTGATCGTTTACCACGATCTCATTCCCCGATGGGGAGATGAACCAGACGATGGTTGTAGTGATGCAAACACCAAAGCCACAATCACCAGCCGTGGTCGTAAGGTGCGTCCTCCGAGACGCTTGTGAGGATAGTTCTAGTTTCGTAAATTTGATATGTAGTTGTCGTTTTATCTGAACTCAAATTTATTCTTAGACCAATCTTAGATCTACTAGTAGTGGTTAGATTTCATCAACCAGCTCAGTGCTTAGAGAGAATGGAATGATTCAAACGAACCAAGCAAATCCCGCAACTCGAGAGCATGCAACCAGCAGCCCAAGAGGCCACTGCAGCGACTTGTTCAACACAATCGAGGACGAAGAAATGACGTAGGGTACCCATGTTGGCGGAGAGTTTTCGTGATGATGCAGGAGGGGAAGATGGCAAGGTGCTGATCAAAAACGTGTCAAGTAAGTCAGACTTGGAAGTTCGAACATGCAGAGGAGCTAAAGTATATCGCACGAAACCATCCAATAGTATCGTGGGCTCTGTTTACCTCTCGCTAATACCTAGCTGCTGCTGCTTGACAAAGGATACCGCAGCCGCCTCGAAGGCGAGCTTTCTTGGTGCAATATCTTGGTGCAATACTTCCTTGGGAGCAAGAGCAGGTTCAGTGTATCATTATTGTTTATCAACACCGAAGACAACGAAGGCATGGATAGACGAGCAAGGGAAAAACCAAGAGACCATGGTGAGGAGGAAACAGCTGAGGAGCTGACTTGGCAGTAACAGGTAGATGACGGTCGTACTGTTGGAGAACAAAATGAGAGAGACACGGTCCACAAGGGCTCGAAGCGATTGGCTAGTTGCATTGCAAATACGTGCCGACCTTGTGGATGATGGGTGGGCTGAGGAGACAATAGCGTTGGCATGGGCAACAAGACGAGACAAGAGAATGCGCGACATGAGGAATCGCGAGCGACCCCTGGAAACATAAACACGTTGCCGCAACGGTATTTGAAGCCGATGTCTCCCTCCAGATCGAACCATGGCCAACAAGCCGCAACATGGACGATTCCACTTGCTTTGCTTCTCCCTCAAATTTGACACAGCTTTCGATCAAAATTCGAGGCCGGTAGAATCGAATCGACATGTAGGGTTGTCTTCGTCGCGGATCAGTCACAGAGACGACAGAGAGACAACTGACTTCGAAGAGCACTGTCTGACTACATGTAGTAGCCATCCAGAGGATACGGAGTCCCCCTCCCTCGAAGGAAAGCTTTCTTGGTGCAATACTTCCTACGTGCCGTGCCGTACCGGTACGGTGCCCCCCCCACGAATGCGAGCTTTCTTGATGTGATACTAGTACTTCCTGAACGTATGGCCGTGGCTTACTTTGGATTACGTGCCGTACCGGTATGAGTGCGAGGCCGTACAGGAGGGTTGCCTAGTCGCGGACCAGTCACAAAGACACAGAGACAACCAGACTGCGTGGCTATTAGCCAGAGGATACTGGTACGGTGCTCCCCACGAACGCGAGCTTTCTTGATGCAATACTCCCGTAGTTGCAGAGGAGTACGTCTCGGACCGTGTTCAAAAAATGCATGGTTCTTGTAGCTCCCTGCGTTGATGGCTGATTGGCCAGCTGTTCTAGCCCTCGCTCTGACTACTTTACCCTCTTCTTCCGCTTGATTGATGCATCCTGCCTTGTCTAGACAGCGATGTATGTTTGCTGCAAACCAGACGCAGGAACCTCAACGAGGTAAAGTTCATGCGTACCGTACCGGCACCACGGCGGCCCCAGAAAGCACGCACCAAGTGGAGCTTGGATTTGCCCGTCAAGGGTGACGCTCGAGCAATGATGATGTCCGAAATTGACAAACGGAGTCAAATGGTGGCCACCAGTTTCGCTGGCTGAGTTGGTCCCTTAATTCTCCAATGCCTTCCGCTGGGTTTGATGGGTGGATCATTTGAATCGAATCGAATCGAATCTTGACGATGACACTTCAGATGCACAAAAGCTTTTTGAAAGAGGTTGGCGAGCCATCAAAGCCATCATCACATCATCACAACCAGCACAGACGCCGACTGTGCCTAGATCGGCCAGATCGAGCCAACAAACTCCACAGAATCGAATCGTCTCTCTCTCTCCTTCATTCTCTCTTCTGTATGAAGTAATATCTCCGCAATGAACCGTGACGACAAGCAATGGATCTTGAATCTACCCGGCAATGAATTCTGTTTTGAATGTGGCGAAGCCAATCCAAATTGGGCGTCCGTGTCCTATGGGATTCTGATTTGTCTGCAGTGCAGTGGTCCTCATCGTGGTTTGGGCGTGCACTTGTCCTTTGTGCAATCGGTGGATCTGGACACGAGCTGGAACGAGAAGAACAACTACGTGGCTTTGATGAAGGCAGGTGGCAATGCGACACTGCAAGAGTTTTTTGAAAAGCATGATTTGGTGGCCAAAGAAGGCACCGTTCACACCAATGGCAAACTGCAGAAGCGCTATGAAGGCGCGGCTGCCGCAGAGTACCGACAATGGCTCCATCAAAAGGCCCAACGACACGAATATACGCAGCCAATCCTTAACAATAAGGCCAAGAAAAAGACACACAGTCCTCACAGCACTGCTACGCACATCCTGCAACCAGAACCCGCCCAGCGCACTACGTCTCTGGAAATGGATCTGCAGGCCATCAACACGCTCCTGGTCAACATGACTCCGTCCAATCATCCAAGCAACAGCGACAACCACAACAATAGTAGCACGCACAGCGGCAGCAATCACCGAAGCGGCAATCCGCAGACATCGTCTTCGTCTTCCTCGAGCGGCTGTCGCTCGGACGACGATGATGACGACGACAAGAGCGTAGCCACCATTGATTCCTACATTGCACCGCGATCCTCCCGTGCCCTCAAGAATCAATTTCAAGAGTACAAAAATGCACGACACTCCTACCAGGAATCTCAGGAGAAGAAGCGCAAAAAGGTCAAACGCTCTCTGTCGGTTCTCTCGAAACAAAATCGACCGGGCGCTCTCACGTGGCAGGACATTCAACCCACGGTGCTCAGTATCGTCCTGGAGCTCATGGGGCTGGAACCCTCTGGAAATTGGAGGCATTTGGCATCCACCGTCTTCTTTGGTCTCACCGTCATCTTTGTGGGCTTGGTGATTCTGTCGGCTCAAAAGGAGGAGGATCATTTTGCGTACATGAAATGGTTTGCTGTCGCCATTGTCTTGTTGGTGATTCTTCCTGCGGCTGGACTCTACTATCTCTCCATTTGGCTCTCCAAACGATTCATTCAAAATCGACAAGGCGCCATGCCATCGGCCAAATTGCAGCTACTGCAACGCATGCAAGCCAAACGCGTCGATCATCAACCCAAATTCGATATCTACCTACCACCCACACCAGAGGATGGCGACGGCAATCCACAAAAAGTACCCGGCTTTGTCTTTTTGCCGGGCGCATTGGTGCAACACACGGCATATGCGCCTCTCGCCGCCAAATTGGCCGATTCGGGCATTATGGTGGCCGTCGTGTCGTTGGAACCACTCCGATTCGGGACGCGCAACCACGGAGCCCGTCCGCAGGATATATTGCCCATTTTCTATCACGTCGCCGCGGCTCACGGCGATGCCTTTTCCGTCACCGAGTGGTCGATTGGTGGTCATTCCGCCGGAGGATCGGCCGCCTTTAATCTCGTCAAGGATCTCAATCTGCCCAAGCTAATTCTATTGGCCGCAGGAACTCCCACTGAAAAGAATGGCACGTTGCGTGACACCAACGTCAAGGTGCTTTCCATTTCCGCCTCCAATGACAATCTCATGAATCAATTCCTGAAGGAGCGACAATTCAAAACCAAAATGGTACCCGACAATACTCTCTACAAGGTCATTCAGGGTGGCAACCATGCCGGATTTGGTCATTACGGACCACAGACCTTTCCCATCAAAGACGGGCTACGACTTATTCCGTTGGAGCAACAACAAGACCAGACCGTTGAATGGATGGCTTCGTTCTTGCTCGGGCGAGTCGTCAAACTACCGCGCGTCGATTCCAGCGACGACTTGTCGGCAGAAGACGAAATGGATCGATCGTGTCGATCGACCGCGTCTCTCTCGTCGCTCTCCTCGTGGACGCAGAATTACAACACTATTATGAATGCCAACACGACCGATACGACCGACGACGCACAACAACAACAACCATGTTGTCTGAAGATAAAAAAGGAGGATCAAAATGGTCATGCCGAAACGACATATGATTCCTTGTTGAAGAAGAGACGAGTAACGGAAAATCGCGGAACTCGCTCATTACAACAAGCTTCCTCCTCTTGCTTGCTGCATGCGCGTCTGTGGAGACGTGATGTGTGCTGTACGCGCAAACAACATCCGAAACGATTCGATTCTGCTTTTCATCGTCCTTTACTTTTCAGCATCGAAGGATCCTTACGTGCCTGCTTGGAGCGGACAATAGGGACTGCGATAAAACTTTTAGAAAATCACTTAACCAGTAAACGAGAATGAACTTTACCTACAGTCGTACTAAGGACTGCAGCGGAAGCAAAATGAAACGCAAAAATATTCAACTACAGTAGATATTTCACATGTATCCTATGACCCCATTGTCTCTGACCTCACTAACGGTCCACCACACTGTG